ATCCTGCCCCTCGTTCTCGACCAAGCTGAGTATACAATTATGAAACAATCATTTTCCATTTTTATTTCACTATCTGTAACTAAGACAAATAAACAGTATTTGGGACACAAGTCACTATTAAAGTGGTTAGTGAGACTCCACATCTGATAACAGTATAACACACTGCTTATTTATGTAAAATTGTCATCAATAAATGTGTTCAAAACCGAAGCTACACTGGCTTTAAAAGTTTTTGTTAACTCTGACTACCTGTCTGCTCTTACCTGTTTCTTTTGCTCTCTGCTGTCTTCATCCTCCATCCAACTCTACAGCTATTGTTAGGGATGACATGATGAAACTGAAGGGTGTCTGGGCACCGAAAAAAGAAAAGAAGAGAGATTGGATTAGGCTGCAGCTGGCGTGCCATTCTCTCACTTCAGGATGAGATGCTGTGTCTTCTTACGTTAATCTTGTAAAACAGGATGTAGGCTGAGTGCTGCTGTTCCTCACAAGCTGCAGATCCAGTTGTGTGCAGCACCTGTGCATCATTATAGGTGAGCCAAGGATCTGATGTAGAGTGTGGACTCTCCTCAGGATGGACAGAATTACAGATGCAGCAGCTGTTTCCGATGTATGGAAACCTGACACACAAACACAAAGTTTACAGTATCAGTGTAAAATAATTCATTTTGTCCAGGTTGAGAAGGTGAGCTTTGGTCCTTGTGCACCACTTGTACTCACCTGAAGCCGTCTCTGGTCTGAATTTTATTTTCCATTATTTATCCACCGCCCAAATGTTTCACTACGCTACTGCAAAAAGGTAAAAACACAAACACACAATTAGACGCTGAGCACTAGATGTGCATGTATGCTAGTGATGTGTCGAGTAATGGAGGGGGCGTTTCCGCGATGCACGTATCGAGGCTTGCTTCATTTATGGGAGGAGCTGAAAATGATGACGTCCGAAGCCTCGCTGCCCGGCTGTACCACGTGACTGGTTCATGAAGTGGTTCGAACTTTGCCGCGAGATATGACAGCAATACAAACCCCTCAGACTTCAATCAAAATGTGGGTGTTTGATGGAGAGCTGCAGTTAGTGAGAGTTGGAGACAGCTGGGAGGCAGTTTGGAGGTTTATGAGAGTGAGGAGAGAAACTCAGGAGAGAATGGAGCCAGCTAAGAAGAGGAGGATGTCCTCCCCTGTGTGGGAACATTTTGATCTTATTCCTCCCAACAAGGTATTTCTACAGAAGATGTATTTTCATAATACTGATGGTGCAATACAATTTATGTTAAGCTGTATTTACTTTTGTACAAGGTGAAGTGTTTGCTATGTGCCAGGGAGCTGGGATATAACAACAACACCTCATCCATGCTTAGGCACTACAGAGCTTTGCATGAGAATAAGGGGAACACTGATTGTGGAGCAAGACCAGGTGAGCCATCAAATGCCATGATAATAATCCTGGTTAGCATGGTGATTGAGGACTCCCAGCCATTTAGCATTGTGGAGGACAAAGGATTTATAAGATTTGTTAAATCATTAAATCCTAGCTATGTTCTCCCCACTAAAAAGGTCATAAAAGCAGTGAAAATTTAGTTTTTACTGAATAAAATATGGGCAGGACTGACGCCTCAGTGTGTAGCTGTCCATACCTCAACGTTACAAAAGCACAACCACTGTCCACACCCCAACCACACCTCACCTCACAGTAAATGATCATTTCCATTTTAAGCATTTCCAAATGATCATTTTCCATACTGCCAGTATAAATATACACAGTATACTGCATCACTACAATATACATGTTTTACACACTCCTTTTGTTGTTGACATTTACAGGCTGTGTGCAAAAGGCCACACTCTTCAAATTCATGCCAACTAATATTTTTACGTCCAGTAGGTGTCCTGCTAGAGCAAATGAAGCTTCAAGAAGCTTTGCGCTGGGGTGAACCAATTGGATGAAAAGCTTCAGTGCTTCATCTGCCCATCACTAATGTATGCATGAGCTTTGAAGTTTAAACATTTTGGGGGACGTTATTCTCTTACTTGTTAAACACATGCTCCCATCCACTCTCTTGGTCCAGAAGCTCCATAATCCAAGTGTCCCAACTCAGGTCTGATGGCATATTTTCAGTGGTGTTTTTAACCTCTTGGGAACTTTCACTACATTCCTTACTTGATGCAGAAAGAAGAAACGAGTCAGCGATGCATAGCAAGCACAACAAGACACCAAACAAATATTCTCTCTCTGGAGAACAGCATTCGACCACCAATGCTTATTTTGACCCGCAATTTGCCAAAGTATTAAAAGCACTTACCTGGGGTTGTCTGTAATTACACCCTGGGGACATTCTGGTTGTCCTGCTCGGGGGTAGATGACCTGCACTGAATCCTACGAACTTCCTGTTAGCTTATAGTGCATTAGCTAACAGGCATATTAGCTAATATTGACTGAAGCTCAAACAGGCTAAAAACAACATAAATAAAACCCTGAAGGATTTATTTTGGCATAGCAGTTGAGGTGGTTAAGTTATCTGTGCCTTGATATCTCTCTTAGGCTGAAAACACGAAGGGTCCGACCCCCAATTCCTTTACTCATTGCTGTTAAAGTTAAGCTAACATAGCCTTTTTTGGGTCTGCAAGTTAGAAAACATTACACCGATTAGAGTAAGACTCATGAGTTGAATTGTAGTTACGTTACAGCTTGATCCCCAGTTTTGGCACACAGTTGAGCATATTATTTAAAATCAAATTAAACAATATTAAAGTCAGTTTATGGTAAGGTAAATAATATTTTACATTTTTCTTCAGTCAGCTATGTTGTGTGAACAGGGTCTGCAGAACATCTAGCCTATTTTGACAGCTCATTGACTTTAACAGCACTAATCTTATTCCCTCCGGGGTTTTTTCAGCACCAGGTCTTTTTTTCTTATTGTAATGCAGTGTTAACTCTGTGTTGTGGTGTCTCTTCTGATGTAATGTGTACACGCGGGTGGATGACCATGGAAAAGTCCGAACAAAAGGAGGATGAGGCTCATTATCAGCGTAGTTATGAACCCTGTAAACTACTAAACATTTTCAAAACTGAAATATGAAACTGAAACAAGCAAACTGTCACTGCACTAACTAAAACTGAGCTGGATTAAAAACAAAAAGTGAAATTACTTAGAATTAATTAGAAAATACTTGAGTACAATAACAGTATTATTGTCTCTGCTTTGGTCTCTTGACCACTAGATGGCAGCAAATGCATAGATTTCTATGACTCTGGCTTAAATAATTAAAAGGGCATTTTGCCCATTTCTTTTTTCTCGCATATCCTTATTTTTTTTTCTTATTTTTTATCATAGCTGGGCATCCCTATTTCCTATTTCCTTTAAAACATTTCAAATCCATATTCATATGCTTTCACTCAATTTTAGGGCAGAATATATTACAGCTCTTTTTTATTTCTTCTTCAATATTTACATGGGCGGGGGGGATTTGAGTTTTGAAACTGATGAAATCTCCACACAAATAATTTCGTTTTTGGCTATTTCCTGTTACTGTTGCTCCTGTGTAAGTTCAAGTAAGTTCAAGTGATGTTCTTGTGTATGAATTTGTAATGCACTCACACACACACATACTCTGCTGGTGGCCTGAGCATCACTGCTCAGTATGTGGGTGGTCTTGCCAGGTGGAGGAGAGAGCGATTAACACCAGGCCTGCCCAAAGGGAAAAGAAGGAGCGAGGGAGAGAAAATAAGAGACGTAAGACGAGATAGACATCTGTCTGCCAGATGTGCTGGGAATAAAGAAGTTAGTTTATGAAATAGACAGAAGGGAATGAAAAGGATTTTGGTCATGGCACTCACTGACAACTGTGTTGGCTGTGACTGAAATAATACTTATTCTGTCTGTGATTCATGTTCAGTTGCTCTTTCTAAATTTCCTGTGTGTGTGTGTTTGGTCTTTCTTGTCTGTCATCTTGTTATATTCATAACACAAAGACAGCCACGTACTCACTAACACTTGCTCTCTTTCCATCTCTTCTGCTGTTCGTGCAGACTGCAATTACAGCTACAGTATAAACCAGTGATGACCACCTGTCAAAACATGTCCAGTAAATGTGTGTCTGTTAGGAAGGTGTTGAGGGGAGGGAATGAAACAGGTTTTACATACAGAGGAACAAAATACTGGTTCCAAGTATAAAGTCATTTCTTTGCATTGTTTAATAGCCACTAAAAATACTCTAAAATTTTTATTGTTGAGAACTTACACTACATGGACAAAAGTAATGGGCCACACTTCTCAATCTTTGAATTCAGGTGTTTTTAGTCTGCTTTTACAAACATTAGTGAAAGACTAAAGAGCTCACTGAATTGGACTGCGTTGCTGTTATAGGATGTCACTACAGGAATTCCTCTGGCATTAATATCAGTATAAGAAGGTGAGCGTGTGCCAGAAGCCTCTATTCGCTTTCCCCCAAATCTCCTGATAGTTGAAAAAACGTTAAATGTATTTGACACATTTGACAAAAAAAAAAAAAAAAAAAGGGGAAACAGCTGTGGACTCTATAGGTGTTACATTTTCTTTAATCTGTTGTTTTCAGGGTAATGAAAATGTACTCAAAAGAAAGTTTCATTTGCACAACTTTTAAAAAATTTCATTTCATTTATTGAAACTAATGAACTCGTTTCAAATCAAATACTCTTTTTTTCCCTTGAATTTGAAGCCCAACTTTGAAACAAACATGTCATACTTTCCTTCCCCGATTTGCAGTGTTTGGTTTCTTTATTTGGTGATCTTATAATGCATTACATGATATTTGCAAATTCTTGCTTTGAGGTTCAGCTTTTGGTTGAGCGTCTTTTCTTTTCTCCCCCCCCCCCC